GGATAGATAATATATAACCCTGGAAAATAAATAACCGTGGACAATTATCACAACACCATCCAGTCCCACGGTAAGCAGAGCTTGTGTTATGAGTACTAGATAACTGATATAAATACGTTTTTTATTGTAAATAAATATATAATACATACGCGTATTATTTATTGTACCTATTTCCACCACTCCACAATTCCTCTCAGTCACTCTAAGGTTAACTGGAAGAAATCCCTCTTTTGGGATAAGTCCGCCATTCTACGCATTTATTTTTAAGTCAATTATATCCTTTCATTTATTATATAATTTTATCCAAATATACATATATAACTCAATAGTGACTGACATAGTGATCTATCAACGTACAGCCCAAACTACTGGACTGATCGGGCTGAAATTTAGCATGCAGGTAGATGTTATGACATAGGCATCCGCTAAGAAAGGATTTTGATTAATTCTACCCTCAAGGGGATAAAATAGGGGATGAAAGTTTGTATGAAACTTTGTCAATTTTAAACCGATCGGGCTGAGACTTTGCATGCATAAAGCTACTATGACGTAGGCATACCCTAAGAAAACATTTTGATAAATTCCACCCCTAAGGGGATAACGCGAGCGAGTCCGCAGGCAAGAGCTAGTTATACTATAAAGAAACAAAAATAAGCACGCAAAAACTACTGAACGGATTTTGTTGAAACTTTACAGTAATATAGCTTATACATCAGAATAACGCATAGGCTATAAATTTGACGCGGTTGCAACCGTAGGTACAGCTAGTTATCATATAATGCCACTAGTAGATCTATTTAGTGACAGTTATTGAAATTTCCGCAGATAGCTCCATAGTTTAGTTCTAGTTAACTAGTACTGTAAAGTAATTTTATATATTTTTTAAAAAGTAAATTTCTAACGTCATATGTTCTATTACTAAAGTTAAATAATTAATAATTAAGCACAATTTTTTGATATAAATATCGTAGTCAATACATAGTATAAAACAAAGTCGCTGTCGCTGTCTGTCCGACCCTATGTATGCTTTAATCTTTAAAATTACGCAACGGATTTTGAAGCGGTTCATTTTAATCTGAGTAAATACTGTTTCGAGGGGGGAAGGGGATTGTTAGTAATGTGGACTAATGATCCCTTTGCTAGCAATGTACCATGTCAGCTCGACCTCCACGCGGTTCCCCCTGGAAACCATCGTGATACATTCCGGTGTATTTGTCACGTTGGGCTAACTGACCTGACCTCATGGTCATCTTATCATCCTCCACTGGTGCCCCGCCAGCGTAAACCGTTAGCGCAGGCGGGTGCACCATTCCATTATCATCCTTTAAAAAAAAATACTGTTTCGAATAGAAAAATTCTTTTAGTGTTCGATAGTCCATTTGTTGGGGATGGTTTTAAGCTATATAGCATTACGCTACGACCAATAGGAGCGGAGCAGCAATGAAAAACATTGCAAAATGTGGGGAAAAGAAAGGCTCTATTAGGCGGCTGACCCCGTTTGGGTTTTTAAAAAAAAACCTTTCTAATACACAACACAACAGTCACTTAATTTTAGATAGTTTATTTCGAAAATGTGATTTCACAAGTTATTATATTAACAAACTTATCCCAAGCTATGTAGGTGCAAGTGAAATGAGTTATCGACGCGGACTGATTTGACTAACAGTCTAAACTGTTTTTATATACAATGTAAGTCGGGAATTATTCAGGCTCAGCATTTTCTTTGTACTAGGCTCGGGCATAACAGCTCGAAAAAGCGCGGATCAGCTAGCATAATATAATTGTGGGAGTTAATAAATTTAAAAAAATGCTTACATTAAGTTTATTTGAATAAAGATTATTTCTATTCTATTCTAAAAATATAGAGGCGGTAATACCCATGGTTTATCTAAAGGGATTATTCTCCGTGACCGTTATACCGTCCAAGGGATCGACCATCGACCCGTAAGTAATTCCGGAGGCCAATTCGTACCTCATTGCGACGTTTTGCGGCTTCACGAAACCTTATAAAGGAATATATTTTTATCTGCAGATCTTGGTAGCAACTTCCGTTGTTTTTATATTGTTATTGAAATTATATTAGCTGCCGATAAATATATATCGTTGCATACTGTTTCAATCGATGTTATCTGTGCGTAATAAAGAATTATTCTTATTTTAGTGTTGGTAAATGAACCTGCTGTTCATTTATTAACACTATAATAAGAATAATTATTAATGAATAAATAGTTTATTTTATTTTTAGTGGTCCACTAAAAATAAAATAAATTTTAGATTTAAATTAAATAAATGTAAGGACGTGATAATGCAATTCTAACACATTACATCTACTTTTCTTTAGACGGCCTCAGTGCTCTTGACACACCTTACCCGATGGTCACGAGTTCGATTCCATGCACGGAGTATATGGTAGGTATGCATAATACATAGAAAATACTCAAGCCGATACAAACAATCATACTCATCATTAGAAATGTTTTTACCGTGCGAGAAACCGAACCCGCGACCATTGGAAGTAAGGCGGTGTGCTGGACCGCTACACCAGCGAGGGCGTACTTAGTATAAATATATAATAATAGATAATATAATGTAGTATACTTTAAAATAAAATTATGGAGTATTATCATTACATAGTATAAAATAAAGTCGCTGTCGCTGTCTGCCCGTCCCTATGTATGCTTAATCTTTAAAACTACGCAACGTATTTTGAAGCGGTTTTTTTAATAGATAGAGTTCAAGAGGAAGGTTTATATGTATAATACATGTACCCCCGGGCAAAGCCGGGCAAGTAGCTAGTAAAGTACAAAACGTTATAAAGTAAACCACCATAGAACACCAAAGAATATGTTCGTAATTCTCTCTGGAGGTGAACGCATAAATAAAAGTTCATAAATATTCTGTGACATTGATAGGTAAGAAACAGCAGATAACAAAGTATACTGTTACAAATATAACATAAATAAATATTAATAAGTAGCGACTTTGAGATCTAAATAAATAATACCACCTCATGAATAAAAGTTTTAAAGGGCTGGCAATTATTATGGACCACTAGCTGTTCCCGCGACTTCGTCCGCGTGGAATTTAACTTTATTTTTCTAAAATAAAAGTAGCCTAAGTTACTCCTTATTACATCTCATTACCTGCCAAAAAAAGTCCCGACAAAGTCGGTCCAGCCCTTTCAGAGATTAGCCGGAACAAATAGAGTACAGACAGACAGACAAAAATTGTAAAAAAATATTATTTTGGTGTATGTACCGTATTTATATTCATATGCATGTAGTAAAAAACGGTTATTTCAATATTACACACAGACAATACAATTTTATTTATATGATAAACAGACGATTACAATTATTTATGACATTGTAAATATGTAAACTATAGGCGAGAAAATCTGTGAGAATGAATTATCACTCAAAAACTATTGGATGAATTTTTTTCATACTCCGATGGTGATAATCAAGCGGACGGCCTATGAACACCAGGAGTGTTACGTGCTCGTTGCCGACACATAAGAACTCTTCTTGTGATGAGCTTTCCGAATGACCGATAGATAAAAAAATCTATTTAAAAGTGTTTATTTGAATAAAATATTTTATTCAAATAAATTCTTCTAAATTCTTCTATTCTATTCTGTTCTATACCTTCTTAAAACAGACTTTAGATATTTTTTAAAGAGGTAGACATTCTACCTATTAAAAAAATATTGCGATTTCGCGCTGTAACAATTTGTTTTATTTTTTTACTAGCGACACATCCCGGCTTCTCACGGATGCAATACAATTGTTTGAATTTCTTGGCTTTTTCTATTCTATTATACATATAAACCTTCTTCTTGAATCGCTCTATCTATTGCTGAAAACTGCATTAAAATTGGTTGCATAGTTTCAAACACTTAAGCGAACAGACATCGGAATCTACTTCATTTTATACTATGTAAATATTATACCATAGTTTACCCTTCAGCCTTCACAACCTTCGGAATACTGCATAGCCAATTAAATATTTCCAATAATTGCACTCACCAATTAGTTGTGAAGAATGGATTCGCTGCGAGCATTTTATCCATTGAAATTTAAGTGCTATTAATCAGTTTTATAAAGTTTAATTCTGAATTGAACAACTTAAATAATCTACTGTTCATGGTTGAAGTTTGTGTAATTAACCCTCATTTCATTGTATTTTATTGGCGTTCTGTGAGATTATAATATTAATATAATTGTATGATTATTAAATTATGGTTTTCGTTAAGAATTTCATCCACGAGAGACGGCAGTACTCTCGCCCCTGCTACGTTGTATTCAAAATATATCGAGCAGAAACGAAATTGACATACTCGTCAATTGTGTTCATCACAACATCGACAGTTGACGATGCCTCTGACAATTCCCTCTGATAGCAGTACTTGAAAAACTTAAATTGGTTTCGTTCCGCCAGCAAGAATGATATCTAAATTCCAGTAAAATAAATGTATCTAATATAATATATGGAAGAAGACGTAACACAGAATACGCTAATGAACTTCGTTAGACGCTCGATTAATTAAATCAAAGTCAATTACCAGTTAAACGCATCAGCTCGAGGCCATATATATAATTACTACCAAAGTATTACACCCCACAAATCCCACTCATGCCTACGGCTTCATTGTACTATTTATTGTTACTAGATCACAGTAAATTATAGTAACTCAATTTGTAAGTAACATAAAAACAAATTCACGGACGTTTGCTTTTCTGCAGAGTCGTAAAAAAGATTTTATGCTGTCCATGACCGAAAATAAAATAAAGCATGGATATCTACTTCCACCATCTCTATACAATGTCTGTAGAGATGGATATACTGAACCTTTTATATCTAAGTAGGTATAATCTTTTATTATTAGCAGTATAAATGTTATTCAAAATCTTATAGGCTTTTATAACACATAAAAGTTAAATGTTCTATTAAACAAAAATGTGCAAATCATAATTTAAAATAATATTATGAGTACTTACTCAGTTTCGTTGTTCTCGAAAATAATATGGCCATCAGCAATCTCGTACTGCGAACCACTCTTCGCAGTCCCATCCTCCGTCCAATACGGCACCCGCACCTTCCCTCTTGCGCCAGCTGTTCTCACAACGCGCAGATCAAAAGTACCAACTGACTCGGTTAACTCGTAATCCCTTTGGGGAAATGAGAATACACCAGAATGGTCATCGTCTAATATTACCACAGTGGCAGTTGACGGGGAAGCCAACGATGCTCCTTTTGGAGAACTCAATCTTACATAGAAATGCTCGTCTTCTTCGAAAACATCATCATCTATTACTTGAACGGTAAATGTCTTCTCATTTTCTCCATGTCCGAAAATTAAAGAGCCATTTGTGGCAACGTAATCGGAACCAGCTTCGGCGGTCCCATCTTCAGTGGTATACTGGACAGTGATTTCTCCATTAAGATCTCCAGAACGTATCACTCTTACTTCGAAGGACCCACAATTTTCCATTACTGTATAGTGATCGGGCTCAAAACGGACATTCGGTCCTTTACGCTCAATTGAAGGTGAACTGGATTCTCGCCGTTGTAATTCTGCTTTTACTTCGCTCAGATCACTTTGAGCTCTCTCTGATATCTTACGAGAGAAATCGCCCCCGCCAGTCATTTTTCTAGTTGCAGCGACTCTATAAAAGGCTCGTGATTTTGGACCTCGAGACATCAAAGTCTCCAAAGCCATGCGTTCTACCGTCTCTAAATCTTCTTCTGGATGTTGTCTTCTTAACTCTCGAAGAACTGATACATATTCTTTTCTTGACTTTTCTAATTCCCTCCCTTCTTCGTCATCTATAGCAAAGTCATCGCCGCTTGGTTTCAAAGCCATTTCAACTGATCCATCACCTTCAGTTTCCACTATCACCCCTCTTTCGTTCACCCGATATCCTTTTTTAAGATATTTATATACTAAAAGGCGTCGATCTGCGATATATGCTGTTATGACCGTGGCGGGGAAAAACAAAAAGGTTACAGCTCCTTCCCAAACCTCAACTTCACTAGGTGATATAACAGCCAGGATAAGATAGAGCCATACATAAGCAAAAACTGACCACGTAGCCGTTACAAGAAAGACTCTTAGGTGTTTTATTTTGCGCACTTCCCCGTCAGGTATAACTGATACACATATAGCTATTATTACAAATAAATTGTAAGCAGCAGAGCCGACGATGGTTCCCGGCCCTAATTCACCAGCTTCAAAGTTTTTCCCAGCAATTTCTATGACGGATAGAAGGATCTCAGGTGCACTCGATCCTAAAGCCATTAGGGTCAAGTTGGCGACAGTTTCATTCCATACTCTAACGACAACGATTTGTTCGATGCCATTGCGTCGCACGCGCACCTCTTTTTCCCTTGACGTGATGACTTCGATCGCGGCCATAAATCGATCAGAGACGATAGATACCCCGATAAATAGGTATAAGAGAGAAAAGAAGTAGACCATGCCACGCAAGGCGATGTCAGCGGTGGGTACATCCTCAAGAGGTCGCCATGCGGGCAGGATAAGGCCATCAGAGCACTGGAGAACATGTTGGGGGGTGTAGTTGCGCGGGGCGAGGCGCGCAGATGGCAGCTCAGCGCGCGCCACCACGCAGCAGGCCGCGAGCGCGGCGAGCGCGTGCCGCATGCCGCGTTAGCTGGCGCGGGCCATGAGCGGCGACCGGCGCTGCACGAGGCCGGCGCCCGACTAAATGACGGAGCGTCGCGACGCCGCTCTCCCCTCGACGCCCGATGTTTTCGCGTAGCGTGAAGGCTTTAAAGCCGCGAGTGAACCGTCTCGCACGTACCTCGGCTACTCACTGATGGAGTTTTATTGCCGTAGCGGGCCGTAAACTTGGCAAGTGTTGGAGGAAAAAAGGTTATTAGCTCGATGTGAGAAACTTATTAAACTTAGTTTCGAATTGGGGAAGCGATATGGGATTTCCTAACAGGGGTCCTCTCGCTACTTGTGGGTTTGCGATGAGTTGTGTTCACTAACGCTTTCTGGAGTTGGAAGCGTATATAATTAAGAAAGCTCTTCGAATCCATATTACTTTGTATTTTGAGCACACGCGAACTGAAACACGCGAGCGGCAACTTAATTGTATGGCAACATTAGGAAAGAAAGAAACGGACGTTTCGAAGTTCTAAGCCATGGTATTAATGCAACTTCTGAAGTCCTTCGTAATCTTAAGCCATAATAATACAATGTCAATTGAGTATAATCAGTTTTACAAGCTTGTAATTGCAATACTTTGTAATATTTTGTGGTGACATTAATTATAAATACCCTTATATACAAATCTATAATTATAAATAATTGAGATTCCACTGTAGGGACAGGCCACCCTCCTCCTCCTAAGAAAAGTAGATTAGTCTACTTTAACACACTGACCAAGAGATTTATATCTATATACATAAAAAGTTTTATTCGAATGCCTCGATGATCAAGCTGTTTAGCACACCGCTTTACTTCCTATGGTTGTGGGTTCAATTTCTTGCACGGTGCAAACATTTTATATTTTATTTATTTATTTGTTCATGAGTATGATTGTTTGTATCGGTCTAGGTGTTTTCTATGTATATACGTACGTATTAACAAAAAAATGTATTATATTTATGTATTTATATCAGTTGTCTAACAAATATTATGTTATCTGTGCTAATACATATAACACAAGAGCTCTGCTTAGCTTGGGACTAGACGTTAATGTGTGTATTATACAGAGATATTATTATTATAATTATATATTTTTACAAATTTTGTAAAACAAATATATTATACGTGCTTTTTGTGTTTAAGCTCTGTTAGAGTAGATACGTTATGGAGACAATCTGGCGAGTCAATATTAGTCGTTAGCCCATAAACAGAACCTAGTGTTGATGGCTCATTGCCAGAAGTCTGTCAATACATCTAATTTCCGAGATTGGTACATAAAACATCTTGTTTGCAACGTTATATAAAATGGTTTAGGTGTTAAGATCTTTTTTTAATATATAATTAATTGACAAAGACACCTGATATCATTACATAGTATAAAACAAAGTCACGGTCGCTGTCTGTCTGTTCATCCCTATGTATCTTTAAAACTACGCAACAGATTTTGAAGCGTTTTTTAGTAGATATAGTGTTTCAAGAGGAATGTATATATATAATACATGGGTATTATATATATATAAACCTTCCCGTTGCGTAGTTTTAAAGATACATAGGGATGAACAGACAGCGACAACGACTTTGTTTTATACTATGTAATAGTGTCCTCTAGGCTAAACATATCAGACAAAACGGTTCTGTATGTATCATCAACATCTCTTTATGTAAAAGTCTTCAAATATAAAATCTTAATACCATTACCTAACTGCGAGTGAAACTCCCGTCAAAGTCAGTCCAGCCGTTTCAGAGATTAGCAAGCACAATCTGACCTACAGTTTATTTGAATTGTTTTTGATGATTTTACCATATATACTTTCATACTTATTTAATGAAAAGCTGTTAACTTGAAATTTCAAATATATAGAATCAATTTAATTTATTTGTATACTTGAAATACTAAAATATTAATTACTATTTTTTTTAATAAATGGAATAGCAGTCTAATGGCCCGTTAGATGGAAAAATGGCAAACGTCACCTATATTGACGACCTCGTTGGTCTAGCGGTCAAGCACACCGCTTTACGACTGATGGTCGCGGGTTCAATTCCTCGCACGGCACAAACATTTGTATTCATGAGTATGATTGTTTGTATCGGTCTGTGTGTTTTCTATATATAATATGTATGTATTTACAAAAAAAAATATCTATGTATATGTATCAGTTATCTAGTACCCATAACACAAACTCTAGCTAGCTTAACTTGGGTCTAGATGGCGCTGTGTGAATTGTCCTGAGATTCTTATTATTTTTTTTATATATGTATTATATATCTCCCATTGATGGGGTAATAGACTGATCATTGCGGGTAAAAATCACCAAACAATGACAGTATAAATTATGAATGATGAGGATGGATAATTTTTAAGTGGAAGACAAAAATTTGCGGTTTATTCTATAAGTATTATTATTATTATTATACACATTAACGATTATTAATATTATTCACACTCGAATTTACGATATCAAATGTAATAAATTTGGCTATATAAGTATATATAAATATTATAACAGAAACAAAGTCGATCAATCTATACTTAATTGCAATCAATTAAGCCGTCGTTACGTCACAAAAACATAATTGATAATTATGTTTTCTCCGTCATCTGTACGTGGCAGTGACTACATAGCTACACAATTGTATACACGTCGCTAAGTTGGATTTACTCATCGTGTATTCGTCATACTCGCGAACAAGAGTTTTTTTGTAATGGCTGATAATGGAATGGTGATACCCCCTGCGCTAACGAAGGATTCAATCACGCCACTGGCATTGAACTGGCCATTCAATAGTCACTCGTGTTTCATTGTAAATATCGTTATTTATAGGGACATCACTAACTACCGTTTTTTTTTTATAGTGGACAACAATAGAATTGTACATCCGGTTTGCACCAATGGCGCTGGTGGGGCACCAATGGAGGATGATAAGATGAACTTAAACTGACCTGAGTTAGTTAGCCCATCGTAGAAAATTTACCAGGAGTTTATCATGATAATTTCTAGGTGAAACCGCGTGGAGGTCGACCTTATATAGCAATAACATTAGCAATGTAGCCACTAGTGTTTTTCTTTCTCTGATATTGGTATAGAATATCTAGATGATATATTAAAATTCTACACCCTTGAAACAGGGTCCATGTAAAAGAAAAAACGGATGTAAGACAGTGTGCTAATTTGTTTTTGTGGTATGGAAGATCTAGATAGGCTATCTAATGGAAACCCAAGCCTTAAAACACAAATGACGATCTCGGTGGTATTGCGGTTAGCACACCGCTTTACGATCGATGGTCGCGGGTTCGATTCCTCGCACGGCACAAACATTTGTATTCATGAGTATGATTGTTTGTATCGGTGTTTTCTATGTATAATAAGTATGTATTAACAAAAAAAAAATATCTATGTATATGTTTCAGTTCTCTAGTACCCATAACACAAGCTTTAGCTAGCTTAACTTGGGTCTAGATGACGCTGTGTGAATTGTCCTGAGAAAAAAAAAAAGAGGGTCCATGTAAAAAAAAACCTGATATAAGGCGGTGTGCTAATTCGTTTTTGTGGTTTGGAAGATCTAGATAGGCTATCTAATTCAACCCAAACCTTGAAACAGGGTCCATGTTAAAGAAAAAACGGATGTAAGGCGGTGTGATAATTCGTTTTTATGGTATGGAGGATCTAGATGGTCTATCAAATTCCTACACCCTTGAAACATGTAAAAAAACAGATGTAAGACAATGTGCTAATTCGTTTTTGTGGTATGGAAGATCTAGATAGGCTATGTAATTCAACCCAACCCTTGAAACAAAGTCCATGTAAAAGAAAAAACGGATGTAAGGCGGTGTGCTAATTCGTTTTTGTGGTATGGAAGATCTAGATGGTCTATCTAATTGAAACCCAACCTTTGAAACCATGTAAAAGAAAGTACTGTAAAATTTGCACCACCTGTAATGAATTTAACTAAATTATTGCAAAACCAACGCAGGCATCCACAGGTAATATGAATGATGATTGATATATGAGGTATTATAATATAGTATTATTGTTTAGACGTAGGTTCGTTGATATTACTGTCACGTCATCCTGGTAATTAAGCCAGCGATTGCTTGTTGGGGCGGGCGGGCCATTATAATGATTTATTGTATTTGTGCGAATCAGTAGAACCTAATTACGGTGTATCCTTATGGGAATTATTTGATCAATATCGAACAGTCGCCAAACATAATTCACATGGCAACACATAATATTTTTATTTATTTGATTACATTTGAAAGACCAACACTAATTAGTGGCCAGGCATAATTTCTTATTTTAAAGTACCCCTGGACAATTAACACAGTTAGGTAAGCAGAGCTTATGTTATGGGTACTATACAACTGATATTTAAATTGTAAATACATATATAATATACATATAGAAAACACTCAGACATATACAAACAATCATATTCATGAATAAAATGTTTGTACCGTGCGAGGAATCGAACCCGCAACTATCCGAAGTACACATATAATATTATTTTTTATTTACTTGATTACATTTGGAAAACTAACACTAATTAGTGGCCAGGCATAATTTCTTATTTCATGGTGTGTAAACATCTAAACCGCCTGATCACAAAAGTCATCAAATAATTTTATATATGTATAATAATAATCATAATCGCAAGACAATTCACACAGCGCCATCTAGACTCCAGTTAAGCTAGCTAAAGCTTGTGTTATGGGTACTAGATAACTGATACAAAACACATAGAATTTTTTTTTTGTAAATACATACATAATATACATAGAAAACATCCAGACCAACACAAACAATCATACTCATGAATACAAATGTTTGTGCCGTGCGAGGAATCGAACCCGCAACCATCGGACATAAAGCGGTGTGCTAGACCGCTAGACCACCGAGGTCGTCAATTTAAACATAAAGGTGTCACTTATAGGTTTTCACACATATGTGTAGAAACAAGGTAAAAGAAATTAACGTTACTAACGC